TGGTCACTGACAAACCTCAAACGACATTCTTTAAGAGGAATGAAAACAAACACATTGGCCACATTTCTCTCATTCTGCTTTCCTCATATCTAATAAACTCTTCAAAAAATTGCCCCTCATGTGCAGAACCAGACTGAAAAACTGTGAGTAAATTATTCCTCTTCTCTCGTGTGGGAACTAAGGGAACAAAATCTCTTGGGTTCATCTGCTGGTTTGGGGCCTTGTCATCATCCCTCACTGATTCTAAAATTCAACATCAGAAGTTTTGGGGGCAGCATGTGACCTAAATGGACTATTCATTTCTATTTTCTGCATCTCAGATTCCAGCAAGTGAACAAAGAGGAAATTGGACTCGATTTCCAGGAACAATAAACTGCTCATTCTTACTCTGTTTCTCCTGAAAAGGAGGGAATAGAGACTGAAAAAGGAATGAAGCAAGAAGAAGGAAGATTTTATGGAAATACTACCTGTGTAGAAAATGGCCTTGATACCACTTTTTCCCTGTGGAAGAATTTAAAGTTTAGTTCAATGGTGTTGTAGATGTAGAAATTGCAAAAGAGATTAGCTGAGCACTGGAATGAATCTCAGGTTAAGACACTGAACCTTGAGTCCTGCCTTTGTCTGCCCCTGAAATAAGGCTGATATGATAGAGCACTTATGCACAAGACACATGAAGTAACAATCATTAACATGAAAGCTGTAAGACTTAAAAATCGAAGATTAATGGTGTTCCCCTATGCCAAGGTTCAGGAAGTAACAGGATGACAATGGATTTGCATCACTACATATCCCTGTGAGTGCTGAAGGAAACATGAAGGATTGATTGTGCTAGATTTTATCTTCTGAAGCCATTAGAACATCTAGATAAAGCATAAATCACATTATAATTCAGATAGTAAGAGAGTCAAGAGTATTCAGGAAGCTTCCTCTTTACCTTCACTCACTCCATGTGTGGCACATATAATATTTATTCTCAGAATTACATATAAGAAAATATAGAAAACATAGCCACCTACAACCTAGATTCTTTGTATTTTATTTATATTACTTCTCTGGGAATTTCATACAACGTTATTTGATCATATTTACCCCTGCCCCAACTCTTCTTTGGTCCTTCCTATACTCATATTGACACAACTGATACCTATTTTGACACAACTTTGTGTTCTCTTTTTTAAAATCCATATCCATGGATTTCAATTTGCGAAGACCATATATTGTTGGATATGTGGCCTTCCATGGAGAATGGTAAACTTACCAATAGCAACACCCTTAAAATTGATTGTTCCTCTCCCAGCAGCTATCAATTGTCTAGAACTTCTTGACTAGGGATGAACCTTCATGTCAACCTCCATATTCCTGATGGAATTTTGTCTGGTCTTAAGTATGTACTGGTCTTGAGCATGGTGTCATAACTGTTTGCGAGTTTATAGATGGAACTTCCCTACTGTTTTGCAAAGACACCGTTTCATTGTTGTTACCCACAGCCTCTTTACGCCTCCTTTTCTCCATGACAGCTGGAAGCAATTCTAGAGGACAATGTTCCCTCTCCCAACAAAGTTTGTCCTCACAGTTACGGTCACCATTTTGGGGTTGGACATTCAGCTCTTTATTAAACCAATCAAAATAAAACAGCAATATATTTTCACACAGTATGATCAAATAGGCAGCAACAATGCACCATATGAAGCCAGAGTTTATATTCTAAACCATTGGTATGGCTAGCATCATTCTGGGTACAAAATATCAACTTTAGTTATCAATATAAAAGATACCCCCTTTTCATCTATATATGACTATAATTTCCATTGTCAGTGCTCTCTAAAGAGGACTTACTTGTGCTAAAGTCTGTATTATAGCATTTAGACTGATCAGTTGGATGATTAGTCCAAACAAAATGTCCCCCATTCATGTGACTAAACATTTACATATCATCTTTTACTGAAAAAAAAACCATGGCCCTAAATGATGAAAACAGTCCTCAAGCACTGCAAAACAATATCATCCTGTTTCCTACTACAGGTGTGACTTTTAACATATCTTAAAAAAACAAATTTGGGTTCTTGCTGACAGGCTGAAAATGAACATATAATAAAGTCTGTAATATAAGAGAAGCATGTTGGGGCCAGTGATACTGTATCCTTGCTATTGACCCAAGTCTTGTCTTGAGTTAGAATCTAGATGTCTCCCCAAGTCCTTGGCTTACTCTTACATTTACAATGGCTCCTTTTGACAAATTTGTCATCTGTCCTCAAATGTTTCATTGGCCCTGTGGTCTCCAGGATGCTCTCCTGGTCAGATGCATTAGGTTAGGAGCCATCTGGTACTTAATTTATGTTCTGGAGAGATCTAACACCAAGAATCTAATTTTGATTGTTTTTTGTGAACCTAAGACTCATGAGTGTTGCAGAAGTGGTGGGGGTGTAAATATTGTAAGGACAAGAAAACAAGTGAGTTTTCTGTGAGATTTTGCTTCCTAGTAATGTCAGAAGCTACACCCATAAAGTCATACTAGCATAATTTCCTAAACATTATTCTAACATGTATAACACCAGTATATATGACAAAGTGGTTGGGGAAGAACTCATGAGGCCCCATCCCCACATACACACATTTAAAAAGAACTATTGGTAACTGAGAAATGCTGAAAATGTGAGAAATAGTCTTCTCTGGGGAAAAGCACACCAATTAGTTATCTGATCCCTAATGGTCAGGTCTGAAATCATGTATACAAGTATAGGATTATATGGACTGAGCAGGTTATATTTTGCAATATATATGTATACAATATACATTTATGTATGCAATAAAAATTAATAAATAGTCATGGATTTGAAAGAGATAATGGAGGAATATAAGGGAGGGTTTTAGGGAAGAAAGGGAATGACAAAATGATGTAATTATATCAAAACTTCAAAATATTTTGATAAAGCTATATGGAAACTTATTTTATAATGTGTGTGTGTGTGTGTGTGTGTGTGTGTGTGTGTCACATATCTATGAGTTTAAGCAGGGTTAGCCTACTGATACAACCATGTCCACTGGAAATGACGAGAGTCATGAAGGTAGCATATCTCTTTGACACAATTCCAGCACAGCTGAGCCAAATATTATTATGTCATGTTGTTTCTCACTTTTGCTTTTGGTCTCTGCATGTTGCATGTTTGGAGGTTTTCTACATTATAATTTATTTAATGTCTTTCCCTGAGAAAATTCTGTCTGAGTTTCTTTAGGGAAGTCCTAAATTCATACCCGTCCTGCTTTTAGGGAGAAAATTTTATCTGACCTTATTCAGAAAATATCCCTATGTCTTTGAGACTGTAATAAAAATGAAGATGCTAGAAACTTTCTCAATAAGGCCATATCTCCAGGATCTTCTTGGAACGTCTGCCATTAAGCAAACTTGAACAGGATAATTAGTATAATGTAAACTTAAAGAGACTGATAAGCTTCAACTAAACAGGAAATTTGGCAACAGATCAGAGGCCCCTTCTTACATTATGCTCAGAGTTTGCTGAATAAATAACACATTAAACAGGGAGTTATACTGGATATGCCCTAGAGCAGTAGATATGCAAAGCAAGATGATTCACCTGAACTGACTCAGGGATTTCTATGTGTTTAGGTCTTTGAAACTGTAAGTGCTGCCAGTCTGAAAACAGGCTGTTATATATTAAATATTTTTGTCTTAACAAAAACAATCTACAAATTTTTTGAAATAGGGTTATGGGACTTTGAAAATTTGTTCTACAAACTAAATAGAATGTTTCTATCACCTGTTCCTCTTCAGAAGGCTCATATGACATTGTGGAAGACAAGGGATGATTGTGAGAGCTACAGGACTGCCACTGTTTTGTGATGTGAAATAGTGTCTGTTGTCTATTGGTTGTAACAGGAACATTTCTCCCCTTAAGTCACAGTATCTGTGAGTTGCTGGCAGAAGACCCACACAAGGTGAAGTCAGTCAGTATTCCAGCATGGAGACAAGCCTTACATCTAGACAATGAGCTGCCTGGATTTGATACCTACTTGGGGTAGAAATGTCACACCCCCTCAACCCACAGTTCATGGATCATTGCAGAAGAAGAGAGAGATATAAGAGACAAAGGCAGTGGATGACTACAAGAAAATAGTATTTTCTAGACATAGCAGGACAGCGATAGGTGTGAATGCACAGTGGTTATAACAATATGAAAAAGACTTGTACAACCTCAAGCCAGATCAAATCCCAACATGGAGAGGGAGGTGGACATGGAGTCCATGCCTGAGAAGCTTTTGACAATTGATAACTTCGGATAGGGGAAAAGTCAGTTTTCTTTAAGGACATGAGTCTTGGTAAGTTGATCAGACTCCAGTCGAACACCACACATCTAAGAGTATATAAGCAGCACCACAAACTCTCTCCCTATCTCCTATCTCTCTGCTGCTGTCTTTCATTTTGTCTCTGTTTCTGTCTCCGTCTATTCAAGGAATAAACCCAAGGACTTTAATAGTAATAGATAAGGCCTTCTATTTGTGGTGCCTCCTGATTATATAGGATGACTGGCCATCACGCAAGCCAATGCTTCTCTTACATCACCATTTCCTTCATTTGGTATAGCTTGTTAATTTAACATTCTGTATTGTCATTATAATAGATGAAGCCATTGATTTTGAAGATGCATTTATTCACAATTCTGAAAGTTCCAGTTTCAAAAATCAATGTGTTATGGTTAAATTGTCATTCAAGTAACATTTTCTCACTTTATTTGTCATTACTTTGTTTATTGAGAAGGCTTTGGCTTTATGTACAAAATGTAAGGACAATAATTGTCTCTGATCAAAGAATCAAGGAGTCCCCAAAGTTCTGAGAACCTGCTGATAATACATGAGGTATGTATCATGGCTGGCATTCATTAGATGAACTCCACTGGGGACAAATAGTATCTCATATGTCCCCTAGTTTCTGTCCATGGAATATGGGATCAGAGACTTCTTCCATTGCTGGCTGCTTACTGGTCTCAGCAGTTGTTCTATTCTGGTGTCCTGCTGCATAACTGGGCATACATCACATCCTGGGGTTCCTTAGAGGTAGTAGCCTAGAGTGGGACAGAGCTGAATGATGGTATGTGCTTGGCATTAGCAATATAGAAAACTGAAATGAGCAGGACTCACCTGTGGGTGAACCTCTCTGTTCTCTCCGGATTGATTGTTCTTCATGTCCAACTCTTTTCTTGACAGTGGAGAAGGAGAGGTAAGCCCTGCTTTCTGATGTCTGGAGGGTTTCACTTGGGCATAAACAATTTGCTGGGGATCTTGACCATGTGGTTTCTGCAGCAAGAGATAAAGGGATAGATAAAGTGACCCCTGGTCCCATGCAGGAGCTCATTCAGACAGAGATTTTTAGAAATTTAAGTCATGTATCATAACTAATGGGGTCTCCAGGAGCTTTCTTAGTCCTTGGGGAGTCTACAAATATCCTTTCCCTAGTTCTGTCCATTTATCCTCACACAGACTCCTTTTTTTCTAACATATTATTAGAAAATATATTATTACATACTCATCTTCCTGTCTGAGTCTGAAGACTTTTGAATCTGCTGTAATTTTGCTGGCATGTGCTCATTTATTAGATGACCTGCAGACATCTTCAAGCTTCTTCTCAGAAGATACCTAGTCAATGTCATTCCTTGTGATTACACATACCCTGTGTACCTTACGTTCCGTAACCATTTTCTCTGCTTCTTTTTCCCTAATAGCACATCATACTGCTAACATTCTTCAGATATACACATCTCATTTCCTAGCCTTGAGGTGAACTTAGAGTGGGTGAAGGATTCCGTCCCTTGCTGTGTTTGCAGTCCTTATGAAAGGCAAAAACAAAATTATGCTCTGTGTAGTAGTATGCTCTGTGTAGTAGTGTGCTCTGTGTAGTAGTGTTGCAATCATGCATTTTGCAAATGTGTCTATTTTCTGAGTTTTTGCATAACATTTCTATTATTTCTTTGTATATCTGTTCTAAACATGCTTTCCCCAACACTTTGGGATTCTTTAGTCTTTCTATAAAGCTTCCCTGCTTGCCTTGTGGCTGCCAGCAATCACATAGTTCGTCTTCATTCTGGCTCTACTCCAACATGGCTTTTCCCCAACTTCTCCAATTTCCTCTCCCCTTCCTCCAGGCAGCAGCTGAGATTTATAGGCTACCTGTGCTGTTGTTTTCTTTTAAACTCTAGTAAAATTGTCCATGAGCTAAAAAATTAGAAGCTCTTTGTGAATGATTATACAAGGATCTAAGGGAATGAGGAGTCTGTGACTCATGTGTCATTTTGGGTCTTTAGGCATATGCTAAGCAACAGACATGACACACATTCAGAAAGGAAACATAACAAAAGGGTCATATAGTCACAATGAAACCAAGAAGGAGAAAGCATAGTTCATAGAGGCAAATTCTTCCATAATGGAGACATTAGCTGTAGCTGTTACTGGCAGAAAGGAGTGCTGAACCAAATTGGGCAATAAGTTCTTATCACTGAAAATGGGGCAGAGTCTCACCCAACTGTCCAGCTCTACTCTCTCCTCAGGTTGTGTGTCCTTCACAGAAGCATCTGTTATGTCAGAACAAAGGAGTCATCTCTTAATCCCAGACTCTGGGATTCCCTCAGTTACCCAGACCCAAGGCCTTGTCTCAAAAAGAGACAGAGAAGCAGGGAGTTGTGTGGTCTAGTCTGTAGGTCCATTGTGAAGGTTTGGTCCTTCAGAATGTTGACCCCAGACCTTCCCCATAAGTCTTGTGAGGCTGAAATCTAGAGCATCTCCCTCCTCAAAAATCTGTTATTCTCACACAGGTTTTCTTCCTTGTTGTCAGTATCTGGATTGGATCTGTGGAGACAGGGATTATCAGGTAGCAGTGAGATATAAGGCAGGTAGGAAGCTGGGTCTCTGGGCAGGAGTTACCTCTTCTGAAGAAGTCTATCTCTGAGTGTTGACTGTGGATCCCCTGCAATGAAATGAAAAAGCATCAGCTAGGAGGAAGAGAAGGTTCCACCAATAGAAACTTTTAGAAGAAGAAAAGAAATGTTAAAAACACATACTGTAAGCATACAAATAATGTAGGATGTGGAAAATATTTGAAATTTGCGCAGATATGGAGAGTACGTGTTGTCTCTACCCAGAATATCCATACACCTATGTCTCTTAACACTCTTCTTACCTGCGTTCTTCTTTTTGCCTTTACACTGGTATCTTAATAAGATGAGAAGAAGCAGGAGGAAGAAAAGCAGGAATAGGGTCACCAAAACTCCGATAAGAACTTTCTGGTCTTGGTGTACTTCTTCTCCTTCTGGGACTGAAAAAGCATGGGATAAAACCAGACTCTTTGAACGTGGCAGACAATGAGGGCTGATGAGAAGCCAAGGACAATGGCACTGGGTTTTGATCCTACTGGATGTACTGGCTTTGTGGGAGCCTAGTCTGTTTGGATGCTCACCTTCCTAGACCTGGATGGAGTGGGGAGAACCTTGGACTTCCCACAGGGCAGGAAACCCTGACTGCTCTTTGGACTGGAGAGGGAGGGGGAAAGGAGTGGGGGGAGGGGGAGAGGAGTGGGGGGAGGGGAGCTGAGTAGGGGAAGGAAATGGGAGGCAGGGAGGAGGCAGAAAGTTTTTCAGTAAAAAAAAAAAAGAACTTTCTGGTACCTTTCCAGTCCTTAGGCAAAATTGACATCACACATGAGGGAAAGATATTATTTACCCAAGCACCTATTGAATGCCCACTACACTCACAGCCTCCTTCCTGACTATTAAAAAAGATGGAACTGATTTCACTACTCAGGTAGTTTATAGATGAGGAAATTAAGGCTCAGAGAGACCCATTAGGCCCAGTTAATTTAGGTCGATGCTGATGGTTTTTCCGCTATGAGAGGTAAAAGACTTTGGACTGAAGAGTATCCTTTCTTACGGTTTCCTTGGTCTTATTGTAGGATAGAGCCCTTCTAAGAGAAGATATCCTAGTGACCATATACATTAAGAACGCATGGGTCCTTACCTGAAACAAGAATGTTAATAGGATTACTTGATGTTGACCACACCTGGGGATCTTTTTTAAAATAGCCATAACATCTGAATGTCCCATTGTGGTTGGCAGTCACAGAGTCCAGAACAAAATGAGCCTGGAATGACATCTTGGCATGTTGTTGTGAGTTCAGTGTCCATGAGAAGTTATGTTTTCTCTCATGGATCAGAACGAATCTGTCAAATCCCAGTGATGAGCTACACTGCATGGTTATTGACTCTCCTGAAGCCACAGCAGGGCTGGGCCAGACAGACAGGCTTGGTTTATCATAGACTCCTAGGATACAAGGGGAAGTGTGTGAAATTAACTCAAGCTACCCACATTGCCCTGCAGGCTTGGGCTCTGAGGGCAGTTCCCCTTGAGAGCAGAACTCTTTCTAAGGGGAGAGCCTGTGCTGGGACCCCTTAGTCTCTACTCACCTGTTAGTACCAGCACCAGGGTGTCACTGTGCTCTGACAAGCCAGCACGGCTTCTATAGTAACACTTGTATATTCCTGCAAAGTCATTTGTCATGTGTTCAATGAGGAATTTAGCCTTGTTCTCACGTTCCAGAGGGCGCTGTCTGTCCCAAGGATCTATGGTTCCCTCTTTATATAGATGGTACTCCACAGCCTCCCAGGAACCCTGGCACCAAATAGTCACAGGTGTGTATTTGGCAATCACAGAGTGTGGCTCTGCCCAGATGATGGGCTTTGGGAGCGTTCCTGCAAGGAAATCAAAGGTTGAGAGGTTGAGTGTCTGTACAGTTCCCCTTCAGACCCCAGGTCTTAGCATAGAGCACTGACACACATTATAGCATTATCCACAAACACTTTTATCCACATGCATTGTGAAGAGTTGACTCAGAGGAAAGCAAAAGTAATTTCTGGTCTCCAGAGTGAAAAATAAAATCCTGGGATGGAGTCACTTACCTGCCAGTACTGTAGTCTTGTGTCCCACACTCAGACCTGGAAGAAAATTCCTATTGAGAGCATTTTCCAATCTGAGAAAAAAGTTGGACCCCCAGTTACTGTATGGAATCAGACCTGGCTGTGGAGGAGAGTTCCCTAAAGACATGAGTGTCTACTCTCCCTCTTCACGTCTTACCAATACACAACAGCATTCTGAGCATCAGGGTCATGATGAGTCTTGCTATTGCTCTTTCTTGTGCTCCTTGGGCAGTCTGACCATGTTTTGCAGAACTATCAGAAAGGTTTTCATTCTGAGAGCAAGTCCTTCCTGTTATGTGTTTGCCACATCAGTACTATCGCCAGAAGGGGAACTTCTATTTTTTCATATTGTAGGAGTTTGGTCAAGTGTTCAGGTCTCTGAAAAGATGTTAGAAAAAAAATGTTTTATCTCTCTATTCCTCACAGATTTTCCCCATTCCTGTGTGTTGTGGATAATGGAATGGTTTCAAAATACTTTACCCCATTCTGGTATTAATCTTTAATTAATTAATGCTAAAGAAGAGAGATAAGGAAAAAGAAATGTAGGCTTTGTTTGATGATAATAAGCTATATAAAATTTCCGCAAGTTCATGTAAGAAGCCTCTTATCCATACTTTGGTTTAGTAATCACAATTACATCCATTGTTTTACCACACCACGCTTAATAGCATTGCTCCTTTTTTTCTGTCAGTGGTGCCTTATGAGATTTATTATGTGGTTTGTTCATGTAATTCAAGGTAAAGTTCCCAGAAACTGCACATTTAATTATTCTTGGACTACAGGAGTATCTCCAAGATGGGCTCAGAAAACCCTAGCTACACTACCACCAATCACTATTCTCCATTAGCCTCTATATTACACGTAAAATATAAGGGGCACAGTGGTCATGGAGTGTCGAGAAATGATAAAGTTTGTAGTTCATAATCTCATATAATTAACACCAAAAATAAAAAGCACAGACAATATTTTTCATTTTAAACCAAAATGAACAAGATAGCCAGTACTTTCAATAACATGAGGAATCTTAAATTTCAAATTGTTCTTATGTTGACGTAACATGTTGTGTATGCCTGCCCTCCACAGCCGTGTCTCCCAGCATTGAAGGGAGGCAGTCATTGCATTTCAGAAGTATTAGAAGATTAGGCTTCAGCATACAAATGGGAGAAATTATGCAAGGAATATACATTCTTTGCACATGTTCCTCATTATTGGCCCCAAATGAGCAGCTCCTTTCACATTAGGTTCCATCATGGAGGAGAGAGTAACACGACATATTCTACAAAAATTGGAAATATCTGGAAACACTCATTCTGAGTGCATTAACCTTGACCCATACCTAGAATCAACATATATTTTAATCTCATTTCAGGAGTTATCCTTGAAAGCTCAGATGTGTGTGTGTGTGTGTGTGCAATTAAAAGGATGGCAAGTATAATAACCTTCTATAATGGAATAAAGAAGTATCAAAGTACAGGAAGTAGGTTAGTGGCAGGATGTATGCATGTTGTTTTTTTCTCTATTGGCTCTTTGCTTTATGGTGGCCTAGCCACCCAGATCACAAATAAATTCACACAGATACATATTATTACTTAGCAATGCCCAGCCCTAGTTTGCCTTATTTCTAGCCATATTTACTTACCTTAAATTATCCCATTGCCTGTTTTCCCTGTAGGCTTTCTCCTCTTCTTTCTGTTATCTTGCTTTTACTCTTACTCTAGAGATGGCTGTGTGACTCAGTGGCTGGCAGTTTCTTTTCTCTTTCTTTCTTCTTCCTTCCAGGTTTCACCTTTATTTATTCTCTGTGCCTGTCAACCCTGCCTGTCTTTTCTCCTGCCTTGCTAATGGCCTTTCAGCTCTTTATTTTTTCAATCAGGTGATTTAGACAGGCAAAGTAACACAGCTTCAAGCAGTTAAACAAATGCAATATAAAAGAATGCACCACATCTTTGCATCATTAAATAAATTTACGAGAGCATAAACAAATATAACAAATCTTAAAATAATATTGCACAACAGATGGAAGGAGAGGATAGAGCAAAGAATAAACAGAGGGATAATTAGCCCTATATAACTTTCAAAACTATCATAAAGAAAACTTTTACTCTATGATCCTCCTTGAATATATACATGGATATAAATTGAGAGTTTAGTTGGAGTTCCTTTAGATTCGGTTAATAATTCCCCCAATAGATGAAACTGTTAAGAAAGAAAATACCCAGTGTCAGACACAGGCTCCCTTTGTCAGAGATGTTAGACAGTGGGGTCTAATTGACCCCTAATCATTTCAGGTTATGCCAGGGCTCTTGGTTTCTCTCTAGAACTCTGCAGTAAGGAACTTTCCTTCTTTTTCCTCTACATACTTGGGTCATAGAACATGGCGAAATTGAACAGAGGTCACCTGGAAGCTTAATCTCTACTGGTAACCTTTAATGTATCATAATTTCATATGATCAGGTTGGAGGACGAAAAGGAATCACTTGCCCTATCCACCTGTGAGATAAAGATAGAGTGGATGGAGAGACATATCCACTAGTCCATTATGGAAGAAATAATGTGAGAGTGTCTAATCAAATTTTCATTGACCATAGGTTTTACTCCACAAGTTAAATATATACCTGACACCAGTATTTTTGCCAGTTAACTGTGAATAGACATGCCATGCTCCACAGAGATGAGTGTAGTACCACAACTCTAATAAATCATTACAGCAGAAAGCATACACCCAAAGACTTATCATCATACCCACAGATTATTCATCATAAATTAATCTTTCAACCCTCAGCAGAGAACATCTGTTTGCAGCAGATATGATGGGCACAGAGTTCCACAACTGGTCAAATGTGTGATCCATAGGACCCTCTGAAATGCGCAAGTAAAAATGGACATTGGTATCACAACCCCTCCTACAATGGCTCAGAAATAATTGCAGACAGAGGTAAGGGATTTGTTGTAAGAAACAGGCATTGTATGACCCAAAACTATCATGTACCCACTGGCATAACTGTCCCTTATTGCCATTCAAGTCAAAAATTCACGGGTAACTAGATGAAAATAGATAAACAATGCTCAGCGAGGTAATTTGGTTTCCTAAATCAAATGCTGTGTTTTCTCTTTTACTTGTGGACACTAGCTCTGAGGACATACCTTGAGAGAATCCTCAAGGAAAATAATCAGGCCACAATTGAAAAAAAAATGAATTTGGTTGAGGAAGCTTGAATGGAGCTCTAGCTCTAGAAAGAGGTAGTAAAATACAGGTGCCACCACATAAGAATTGGCGATGAATAGGAAAGAAATATAGAGGAAGGGAAAAGAAAAGAGTGTACTAAAGATGCTTGGAAAAGGCTAAAGGAGGCATATTGTCATATTATCGTAACTGAAATACTTATCATACCCCTATTAGCATGTAATTATACATCATGGAGGAATAGTTATCCCCCAAATGCTCTTGCATTATGTTAGAAAAAATAAAGTGTCATAGAAAACCTTCCTCCAAGTTATTCATTAGGGCCTCCAGAGTACTTCCCAAACAGAACAGCTTATTGACTTAACCCTTGGTTGTATCCTAGGAAAGGTAAGACCTATTGTGAATGCAACATGCTTATCAGTGTTGTTCTTCTTTTTTTTTTTGTTTTTTTTTTTGCCAGTTTGAAATGGGTTTTATTTTTATTATTTTTTTTTAAATTTATTTATTTATTAAGGATTTCTGCCTCGTCCCCACAACCGCTTCCCATTTCCCTCCCCCTCCCCCGATCAAGTCCCCCCCCCTCATCTGCTCGAAGAGCAATCAGGGTTCCCTGACCTGTGGGAAGCCCAAGGACTGCCCACCTCTATCCAGGTCTCGTAAGGTGAGCATTCAAACTGCCTAGGCTCCCGCAAAGCCAGTACGTGCAGTAGGATCAAAAACCCACTGCAATTGTTCTTGAATTCTCAGTATTCCTCATTGTCCGCTATGTTCAGCTAGTCCGGATTTATCCCATGGTTTTTCAGACCTAGGCCAGCTGGCCTTGGTGAGATCCCAATAGAACATCCCCATTGTCTTAGTGTGTGGGTGCACCCCTCATGGTCCTGAGTTCCTTGCTCGTGCTCCGTCTCCTTCTGCTCCTGATTTGGACCTTGAGATTTCTGTCCGGTGCTCCCGTGTGGGTCTCTGTCTCTGTCTCCTTTCATCGCCTGATGAAGGTTAATATTCCTGAGGATGCCTATGTGTTTGTCTTTGGATTCACCTTATTTAGCTTCTCTAGGAACATGAATTATAGGCTCAATGTCCTTTATTTATGGCTAGAAACCAAATATGAGTGAGTACATCCCATGTTCCTCTTTTTGGGTCTGGCTTACCTCACTCAGGATAGTGTTTTCTATTTCCATCCATTTGTATGCAAAATTCAAGAAGTCCTTGTTTTTTACTGCTGAGTAATACTCTAATATGTATATATTCCATACTTTCTTCATCCATTCTTCCGTTGAAGGGCATCTAGGTTGTTTCCAGGTTCTGGCTATTACAAACAATGCTGCCATGAACATAGTTGAGCATATACTTTTGTTGTATGATAGGGCCTCTCTTGGGTATATTCCCAAGAGTGGTATTGCTGGATCCAGGGGTAGGTTGATCCCGAATTTCCTGAGAAACCGAAACACTGCCTTCCAGAGTGGTTGCACAAGTTTGCATTCCCACCAGCAATGGGTGAGTGTACCCCTTTCTCCACAACCTCTCCAGCAAAGGCTATCATTGGTGTTTTTTATTTTAGCCATTCTGACAGGTGTAAGGTGGTATCTTAAAGTTGTCTTGATTTGCATTTCCCTGATCGCTAAGGAAGTTGAGCATGACCTTAAGTGTCTTTTGGCCATTTGAAGTTCTTCTGTTGAGAATTCTCTGTTCAGATCAGTGCCCCATTTTATAATTGGGTTGATTAGCCTTTTACGGTCTAGTTTCTTGAGTTCTTTATATATTTTGGAGATCAAACCTTTGTCAGTTGCAGGGTTGGTGAAGATCTTCTCCCAGTCAGTGGGTTGTCTTTTTGTCTTAGTGACAGTGTCCTTTGCTTTACAGAAGCTTCTCAGCCTCAGGAAGTCCCATTTATTCAATGATGCCCTTAGTGTCTGTGCTGCTGGTGCATTTATTGATGATTGCTTGTTTGATTGCTTCATTAATTTATAATTCTTTAGCCTTCTCAATTGTTAGATTGGCATTGAC